TTCATTCTGTGACATTGTTGGTCCGGCAAGTTTGTGTTATATTGTGGGATGGGCGGGAGATTTGGGGTGGACAGAGTTGTTGTCGAAGAACTGAGACGTATATCAGTATGCACACACACACTATCAGAAACTATATTATGCCTCTCTCTGGTACGCGGAAAAGATGTGTAATATCTTCGCACTGTGACACAACCACCGGAAGATGAGAGGCCGTCCCGTTTCGGCGTAGACGAATGTTCGACGAACAGCCAGAAAATGGGGGGTTGCTACCCTTCAAATGACGTGTACGTGTTTGAAGATGAGGGCTGAAGATGTACGCGAAGGTGCCACGGTTAAGCTGATCAGACGACAACGAGGAAGACACTCGAGGCTACGCGACAGCAGCGAATCGGAGGTGACAGCTGATAGGTTTGGGATTGCGGTCATGTTCGGATCCAAAGGTCCCAGGTTCGAGTCCGTAACAGTAATCATGTGAATGGAGTTGGGGAATCAGTTCGCCGGCCTGCGTGCACGCAGACAGACGTACGTCGGCAGACGACTGGCATACAGTTGATGAGAGCGCGCATTGATGGTACCTAAGCGGCCGAATGTCCCCTCGGAGAGCGAAATGTGACGTCTGACAGGCCCTGGGCTGGAAGAGGGGAAAGCACGGGCAGCACACAGGATCGCGGTTGAGAAGAATGCTCGCATGTCACTCCAGCGGCCTGCGGTTGCTGGAAGAACGAAGCGAGGGCAGGTGACTCGTCCACCTCTGGCATGCGAAGGAACCGGTAGCAGGAGACTGGACCACGCTGTGCGTCTGATCTTGAACACGAATCAGGAGAATGGAGTGGCTACAAGAGACTGGACCCGAAACGCCGTATACACGCGTTGATGACACTACTGTGGCCGGCGGTTGGCTGAAGAACTACACTGGCCATCGGTTGTCGTAAGCACGCGTTGATGACCCGAGACCTTTCGGTGGTTGACGGAAAATTGAAGTGCCAACTGATGAGCGGCATATGGTTAGCAAGAGTACACGCGGGCGGCACCCCAGTGGCACGCGGACGGCACCCCAGTGGCAAGCACCCCAGTGACCGGTGTGTGGTGAAGAGAACAGTGTCCCCATGGCGGGTGATCGGTGCAGGGTTGCGTGTGTGAGAGATGGATCCCCCGTGGAACGGCAGGGCAGCTGTGAATGGTTTCGTGAGAGGTTGTTCGAAGTGTCGGTGGATGTGTGACAAGAAATACCGGCTGGCAGACGAGTGTTGTCAGCTTCCTGTTCGATGGTCTCATGTGTTTTGGTGTGGTCGAATTTTGGCAGTAGATGTATCTGGTCGTAGCTGCTTCGTATCTTGTCTTCACCGTCGACGACCGTAACCTCCTGCCGTTCGTAGTGGACTTCCCGAATCGCCAGGGGCCAGAAGATAGGCCGGTGCTTCAACGTTGGATATACGCGTACGCAGGCCCAGCTGACCAACCACGGGCCGGATGTCTAAATGCCGCATTCCATTTCCGCTCTGACGTTGTGTTGGTTCGCAGCGGCCTTTTTGCGTAATCTTTCCGTCTCTCTTCGATGTACATCACTGGCCTTGAGTACGTCCAATGGACCACCATGGGGTGCATGAAACTCTTCCAACAGCGCGGCAAGCAATGCGGCGGGTACAAAAATCCTATAGACATCCGCGAGGATTCCTTTCCTTTAGTTATTGGGCCTCCGTAGTGTTGGGATGTCTGGTCAACATGTGGATGTCTGCTCAGGTAGTCAGTCACTTGGTTCTGTAGGCAAACTTCTCCACAGGGCGAAGTACGCCTGCCGGTTTTGAGATATCGCGCGAGTCCGTCTTTAACTTAAATGTTCATGCCGGTGCTAATCCGATGCAGAGTCTTTGTTTAAAGGGATGTAGTCCCTTCTACAACTGCTGTCGCCATGTTCTATTATGTGCTCAAAAAGGTGTGAGTTTGTTCGGACTTGAGAGTGTTATATTGGCGGGAGATATGTGATGGACGGAGTTGTTATATTGGGGGTGGGTGAAGGACTACTCTGTGTTGGCGATCCCAAAAGGTGTGTAGCAATACCACCTGTAGTGGAGTGAAGGTAATAGCTGACATATTGTTGGATAACAGCCACGGGCCAACTCGACTGTACGAGAGGCAGTGTCTCAAGGGGTGTCCCATTTGTTGGGGTGCTATAAGGCAGGAGTTCTAATGGTTGCCGAAGGTTGATGGACATATGTGGAAGCAACGGTTGGAGCATCTTGTTCGAGTTGTCTGAGAGAAGCCCCCCCCTAGACGTCGTGCCCCCCTCCCCCCGCCTAGACATCCGTGCCAGAGAAGCATTTTCGAAAGAAGAAGATGGCTTAGCGGAACTTTATAACGGACTAACCGTTCTCAATGTCTCCCTGCGGTGTTTTGGCCATCGGAGTCGTTGGTTTCTACCACCTATTGTTCCCTTCTACGAGCCCATGTTCGTTTGTGGGCAAATGCATTGGAACAGAACTCCGACAGACTGGACGTGAATGGCAGTTTGACGCATTATGACTCTTTCCTATGATTCACACACCGTGCATGAGTCACACATTATGCGCGATTACCTTGACCCGTCTAAAGTGAGACGCGCGTCTTCGGGCGCGGCTATGCCTAATATTTGTGAGGCTTTAGCAAGGGTATGCAGCACACGTCGTGATGTCCAGGAGATAGCGGCTCCCCACCTGAAAACCATTTACAACTGGCATGTCTACCAAGGGAATAACACAATCGGACTCGATGATAAGGACTCGGCGACAAGGACTGCCACTAGTGTTACGACCGCTCCTAGTGTTGCTACGGCGGCTACTCCAAGTGTTACAACGGCGAGTATGACTACACCGACTAGTTTTACTTCATGTCGTCGACTAAGCCCCATTCGACTTAGCCCACCCGTGGGCATCCAGGCTTTATCGCTCCTGCCGAACCACGGCGAAACGTGCATCACCTGTCAAGATACCGACTTTGAAAACACCAACGCTGTAGAGGATCGGTCTCATGGGAGATGTCCTATTCCCCTCATTGCCCGCGCTGTTACGGTGTTGCTCAAGTCTCTATCCCGTATCACTGGGCTTGTCGTAGCGCTCGTTGACAAACCGCCGAAGACTATCCGCGTTCAGCAACGAGCCCTTAAGGAACTGAAACTCATTGAAGAATTCTTTGGCTGCGAATACAGGCCCTGTGATCACATCAGGTACTATGTAGATTAAGGATTGATGTGTGAGGCACACACTGTGACCCATTTGAAGTTATGGACTGATTATGTGCTAGCCTGCTCTTGTTCGGTAAGAGGCTCTTGTTCGGTAAGAGGCTCTTGTTCGGTAAGAGGGTGTCGTCAGTGAGCACGTGCTCGATCATATCGGCCCTGGCAGGATGACGTGCTGGAAAGATGCAGTCGTATGCAGCTTAGGAAAAACATGGATAGCGTTGGCGTTAAAGAAAGACAGCGGCCACGGATGCAAAACTGTTGATTTACACTTGTCACCAACACCTGTTCTGGGACTGTCTTGACCGGCTAGAATTATGAGCACAATTTCAGTTGCTGTTGAATAACTCGTCTGACTGGCCTGGCGAGTTCAGCCAGCGTGTGTGCAGGCACACATCTTGAGGTTTCTCGGACGGTGAGGTGGTGACATCGAGTACTGCGGGGACCGAACCGGTTTTATTCCTTCTTGTGGACCGTGCGTGTGATGATGGAATGTTGTGAGTACTGCTGCCCGGTGGTTCACGTCGTTTGCACCGAACGTCCAAAGTTGCTTGCTGTGTGTGTATACAGTGTTTGTATACAGTGTGCGAATGTTTGCTGTGCACATCAAACGTGTGTGCCGTGTTTTTCTCATGACAGATATAGATCAAAAACTAGCTATGTACACCCCGACGGTGGGGGTGGTGAGGTTCGTTTAACAGGTGTAGCTGGTACTGGTGACGGTGAAGGTGGTCTTGCATCCTTCGTAGGTCTTGGCCAGTCCAATGGCGATCCTGCGCCAGTCGTCGCGGGTTTTGCCGAGGCTGGTGACGGTCCGGGCGACGATTTTATGCAATTCGACGCTGGCTGCGACGACGGCTGCGCGGTAGTCCTCGGTTTTGCTTTCTTTGGGTGGGCTCACGGCGCGCACGGTGCCGGGCGCACTCAGCTGCTGGGCGGCCTTGGGGTTGATAAGTTTGAGAGCCGCGACCACTTGGCGCACAGAGTCGCCCGAACCGGCGCCGAACGGACTGGAACCCCCGCCGAACGGACTAGAAGCCCCCCCGAACGGACTGGAAGCGCCGCCGCCGAAGCCGGCAAAGTTGAAGCCGCCAGAACCCAAACCACCAGAGCTGAAGCCGTTGGCGCCAGCGGAACGATTCTGGCCACGGCCGGGGGGCGGGTTTAGGACGCCGTGGGCTGCTTGTGCGATGCCTGAGGGCAGCAGTCGTTTCTGTTCGGGGCTGAGAGCGTTTAAGGCGGCGGCGGAGGCTTTGAGTGCTTGGAGGAGACGTTCTGCGTCCGCGACGCCTTCAGTAGCTGTGGCAAGGGCACCTTCGAGGCCGTCGTATTTCTCGAAGACCTTGTCGCAGTGTCGTTCGTTGAGGTCGGCGATGCGTTCTTCCATGTCGCCCAGGTCCGGGTCTATATATTCGTCCGCGTCTTCACTGGCGGTAGCGGGGACCGCGATTGCCAGTATCGTCTCCACGAGGGCCGTAGCTTCCCGTAGCGGGTGTGCGCCGTCTGCGTGCTCTGCGAGTGCCTTCCATTTCTTGAGGTCCGCCTGCGTAACCGCCTTGCGGAACGTATCCCTAAACTGGGCCGCCAGCGTCCCATGAGGCAGCACACTCGCCAGTGTGCACCGTGCTATCGAGGCCGCCGACTTCCCGATCAACTCAAACACACGCCGCTCCTGAGCGTCCGTCACATCCTTTTCTGTCGGAATCACCGCCTCCCGAATCCCCGCCAAGGCGCTGAGGTAGCCCGCGGCATACTGCTTCAACGTGTCAATCGCCTCGCTCGCCTCTGGAGGCAACTCTGCCTCTTGTCGCGGCTTCCGCGACCGCCGCGGCTGACTGTATCCCACCGGACCGTATGCCGGCTGACCGAATCCTGCTTGACCGTATCCCACCTGACCGTATCCCGGCGGGGCGTAACCGTACGGCATGGCCGGCTGGGTGAGATAAGGCGGCCCCATGCCCGGCTGCGTCGCTCCGACCCAGCCGTTTGGTAGCGGCTGCATCATGCCTGTAGCCCAGGCAGCAAACGGCCCGAAGCTCCCGTCATCCTTTTTTCGCGCGCACAGGTCCGCACGCATTATTTGAAACCGTAAAATTTGTTATTCGCCGCCACCCCGCCTTGTTCTGCCCGTACTTTCAGCACGCCTTCATTTATTCACGGGAATATCCGAAACATAGCACAAACGCGAAATCTACCCAAAACTAGCACTTTTCGGCTTTGTGCTCGCTTAGACGTGCCTGGACGATCCATCCTCACAATGGTGAGAATTGGAAACGGGGAATTAATTAATCCGCAACGCTGGCTGGAGATATGCGTGCATAAATCATGACTGGGGGAGAGTGGACTGTAGCGAAGAGCAGACATCGCACGAAAGGCTCCTCGGAGTGGAGTGGAGGCACACCCATGCGTTTCCAGTACTACAACACCGTTGGAGACTTGGATGCTGCCGTCAATGCTTCCCGCCAAAGAACCGTGCTACGTTCCCTCACTGAAACTATCACTCAGGCGGCCAGGAACCGTTTCCCCGATGCAGTTGACATCTCGGTTATAGGAGTCGGCATTGGCTCCCTGTGCCGAAACAAAGCGTCGATTGAACAATGGGCGCTCTTCGCACACGTGTGCGATGCGCTAGCGCGAGAATATAAACAAGTGAACCGAGTCATTAGCGAGCCTGATTTAAGTGAGTTGGACATCTCTTTCATGCAATCGAGGTCTACGCGGATAGTACAGCCAACTCGTATCATTACCGACAGTCAAACGAACTACCCTGATGCATCGTCCTTGTTATCTCAATTTTCAGGTGACAGTTCCGATAGCGGTTCAGATCACGGCGCTTCCGGCGATAATGCGGTTTCAGATAATGCGGCCTCAGGCAGGAGTTGCAGAGCCAGAAGTCATTTCTTAGTTTTTGGATTTCATTGTCCTCCTTCGTTGTCGTGTGCTTTGAGTTCGTTGGTGTCCGATACATGCTTAGTAATAAGCAATAAAATGGAGTCTTATATAACCCGCATGGGCACTGATTCAGCAATAAAGGATAAGGCTCAGTGCATCTTAAATGGGCCCCGTTTCCGTGAATATCCTCTTCTGTCGAGAATGTCGTCTCACAAGGACGACCGGCCCTGTGAGGAGGCCGTCAATAATATGGCCATTCAGACGTTGATATAATTTTTGTTGCAAACTTTTATTTGCTCCACGCAAACGTGTGCCCTGCGCAAACTTTTACAGCCACCCAACATTAAGTGTCAAGCAAACATTAAATGCAAGCAGACATGACCAGCGTAAGTTGTGGTGCAACGGATTGACCCATATGATTGTTAGCTAAGTGAATTGCCAAAAGAGGTTACCGACCGTCTTAATTTATGGACTGGGGACGCGGCTCGCCATTCTGCGAACGTTTTGCAGCTAGCAAGACATCGAGTACGCCATTCCAATTCATACCTGCTAGGAGACGTGAACCCTGATGGCCACGGCTTGGGTGTTTCCTTTGTGGCCTCGGAGGTCCAAGTACCCAACCCTGCAAACAGCTTCAGGCTGCAATGGCATAAATGTGTTCTCAAGAACAAATCGAGTCTTGAAAACAATCCCAGCGACGAGGAGTACACGCTACTCACGAAATTGTACCTCCAAGAGTCTCTTAAGATTGTTAAGAATCACGTAAAAAACAACTTCAACTACCAGCAACAGCCTGAACGCTATCCCAGTACGCCGCACTTGCGGGGAACACCGTACTTACGGAGCACACACAACGCATGGGAGTAAAGCTTGTGCACAGCCTCTGTAACTGGGAAGTTTCACAGAGAGGGTATCACCACTCTTTTTTCAGATTTGTCGAAGTTGGTGAATGAAAGTGCTTGAGATCTCGACTGTACACATCTGGTCCAGATGCTACTTCTGCCAGCGCTTGTTTGGATCCTTGAGCGGACGGCAAGAGGTTTTTAGACCACGCCGTGGGTGCGAACTGGTAAAGTATTTTGTTGGTCTTAGCAGCATTGCATACCATCATGAATTCCTGTGGAGTCTGGCGGGCGAAGAGGTGATCGACGCTGACCCAGCCGTGCTCAGTACACTGGCGAATGCTGAGCGTGTTGGGCCGACGGTTTTGGATGTTGTCTGCGGTGTTGTGCACGACATAGGCGAGTGTGAACTTGGGATACCACCCACGGCACTGTACCCAGAAACGTTCGAAGGGATACAAACCCTGAGGGTGGGGCGTTTGGATGCAAATGTCGGCAATTACTTCCGCCTCATATAGCTCTTGTTCAGAGCACGTCCCCGAAACGTGCGCGGTTCCACCAACCGCTGCGCCCGACCGCGTCGTCTGGAGCAGGAAGTCCAAGTCGTTGGGCGGGGTCCTGACAGCGTTCAGCACTGAGTAACCAGCGCCCACAGGCAACAGGAGCTTTTCATAGTCGGCATCGATTTTTTTCGGACGGAATAACGCTTTGCCCATCATGCCCATGGTCGAATCGCGCACCTGGCTCGTGAACTGGTTGAATCTCAAGAAGCTCAAGTTTTTCTCGACCTGGAGATCCGCCTCCGCGGGGCTGCTGGGCTGAGTCTGCTGACCTTCCAGAGGGATGAAGTCGTCACCGATATAACCCAAAAACACCATAGGCAGCTTTGATGGCAGCTGCACAAAATCCTCAACCACAACCTCTTTGCCTTGAAACTCGGCCTTCTTGTTAAACAGCGGATTCTTTCTGATCAGATCCCTCGCAGCTTCCAAAGCCCTCTTGTGCGGGACCTCCGCCTTCACGTCCGCAAATATGGAGGCCAGACGCCGGGTCTGACGTCGTCCGGTGCTCAGATGGCTCAACTGACTGCAGGTATAATCAAATCGCAGCCTCATGTGATAAATGATACCGAACTTTTGCAGCGTTTGAAGATCCAGATGGTATTTCTGCACTACCAGCTTCGTCTGCTCCCTGGCGTAATCCGCCATCTTGATCTCCAGCGTTTTCAGGATCCTAGGAGGTAACGGGGTTCCCGCCTTGTTCGCGTGCAGTTCTCCTTTACCAGCATTATGATTTGCGCCTGGATAATATATATAGTATTCCTCTGCGCTATTTACAAACACGTGTGCGATCGAGGCAAGCCCGTCGGGCCGAGGCCAGGTATGGGTGAAGTCTCGATAGGTACCTTTCCCACTCAGGGATTTTATTCTGGCAAAGTCAAATTTCTCCAGAGCGAACAAACTATCATCGGATTTCGGCGGATTCTCCACTGGCTCCGACTTCTTGACTTGGGCGGCCGCTCGAAGATACCAGTCAGGACTATAGATCTCGTGCTCTGGATCTCCCATACCAAAGGATCGTTCCTCTTGCCACTCGTCACCTTCATCTTTCAAGACGTATTTCAGAGAACCTGGCGAAAGACTGTCCCGTACAACTCCTAGTCCTCCCTCAACAAACGGCTCCCGTTGGACTCCAAACGCGACATGGACAAACAATAGAGAAAGGTGCATTGGTCAAGCACACTTCAATTGGTGAAAAATTCTATCGTTCCTTAACAGTGGGTATACTACGAACCGTCGTAAATAGCGAGTGTTGCAACCAGCGTGTTACAACCAGCGAATATAATAGCTTGTGGTGATTAGCTAGTGGTGATTAGCTAGTGGTAACTAGCTAGTGGTAACTAGCAGGATTGGGCGTTGTAACTAGCTGATGGGGTTCCGACGTCTCAACCATACAATATATATGCTTGACGGATCGATACTTTCATAACAGGAATATTGGTCGTCAGAGATATGTAACCAACCAGCATCTTGTATGAACTGGACGGTAGTATAGTGACCTGACTCTAAACTTCCTTTTTGTAGTGTAAGCCCTATAACGTCGAACAAATCGAATTGCCGCTGGCGCAAATACGGCGCAAGATCCACTGTGTAAGGAACCTCAAGCCGTACAGGCGTATCCAGTCTGTATGATCGGCCAGTTCGCTGCGACCAAGCGAACCTCTTGATCTAAAGCGGAAAGGAATGATTAACGAAACGGAATAATCCTGGGGTCGCAGAACTTACTTGCAAACACAAAAACATGTTCGGTAACCGTGTGGGGAATCTGGTCAGTTCCGTACTTGTGACCTTCTGGCAAGTCTCGCATTCTATCTAAACACAGAATAATTAGGTAATATATGAGTTACGAATTAAGTAGGTAATATATGAGTTACGAATTAAGTGGTGTGGTTTACTCGTAGTTCTTCCTGCTGATCGAATGTGTATAAAAGTAGGTCTTCGATGGTCATACCTTCAGGTTTGTTTTTGGGGATCTCGAGTTGCCAGTCGAGTTCGACAGCGCTTTTGTACTTCGTGGCATCGCAAACCTTACAGCGCATGCGCGATGTCAGAACAGTGTTGAACATGATCTCCGGGGGGTTATTATGCTCTTCCAATGATTTGAGATGTCTGGCCCATGCATTGTGGCAGTCGTCCTTGGCGCTGCAACCACTACGATAACAGTTACTTGATGGCCTCAAGCTCGAGGTTGAAATTTCTTCCCCTAGTGCGTGGATAAAAACCTGGAATAACTCATGAGCATCGCCTTGTAGCCCTGTCACAAATTGGTTGTTGGTACGCTGAATCAAGTCCACTATACTCACGTAATGCTTTCGCAATTTCGCAGTCCCATCCTCATCCTTATCCCATAAAAGATCCTTGTCCGACAAACCATCCTTTCCGAGCAACTTGTCGCCTTTACCCGGGAACTTCAACACACTGGTTCCATCTGTCGAGAAAACACAAGAAAGCAAACCCAGCCATTGACTGAGCAGTTCTCCACGGTACCGAGAATTCGTGTTTTCGCGTTTCCAAGAAACATCCGACCCCACGAAGTACTGAACAAACTCGTTAAAACCAAGTAAGCCTTGTAATACCGCATTACTACAAACAATCACTGTTTCCTAATGCATGAATACCTCCCCGGGAATACTACTCCCCCGTTACGAGAAAGGGTTGGGAAGCGACAGGCAGGAGAAGGTTGCTTACTAGAAGCAGGTATTTCCTGTGTTAGGCAGACCGAGCAGTTTCCGCCTTGCTAAGAACCGGGGGCTTGCTCGAGTACTAGTGTTACTGTGGGTCCGTCCTTCCTTGGTAGACGTATCTCGAGTCGAACGACTGCTTTCTCGGCTACGATATTTTTGCGGGCAAGGATGATACACAGGGGAGTCCATACCCCCAGTATCCATACCTTCGGTATCATGTGCGCGGGGGTCCTGGGCAACCATGGCCTGCGTATCTACGACTTGTGCGTCCACGGGCACAGCGTCCACGGGCTGAGCGTCCACGGGCGAGCGGACAGGAGGCGAAGCAAAACTTTGGTCAGAGAGCATGGACGACATGGCACACCAACCTGGAGCGCCTGATCGAGGCGAGCAAGGAGCAAGCGGGTGCTGCATCGGCTGGCACGACGGTACCACAGACCCCAGAGGTCGTCGAGCCACGGGGTATGGGCTATGATAATCCTCTTCAGGCGCATTGCCTCTGTTACTCGAACCCCAGTTACTCGAACCCTTGTTACTTGAATCCCTGTTGCTTGAACTTCTATTCTTCGAACTTCTATTGTTCGAACTTCTATTGTTCGAACTTCTATTGTTCGAACTTCTATTGTTCGAACTTCTGTTATTCGAACTTCGGCTGTTCGAATCTTCCTGGTGCGGTTTTGGCTTGCTGCCGCCTACGTTGAACTCTTGGTCCTTGGTACATTGCCTTTCGGACTCCATTCTGAAATCGGCAGCAGACTGATGATCTGAGTAGCCAGACGTCATAACCGTTGGAGGTGTTCGCACGTCAGACGTGCTTCGGACGATCAGGTCTTTGACTCGAGAGCTTCGTCTGTGCGATAACTCGCTGCTCTCTTGCGCCTCGCGAGAGTAGTCATCGGGTAGATGTTTGGAATGCGCCTTAGGATAGTGTTTGGGAGTATAGTATCTCGCAGGCGAAGCGTTTGCGACGAAAGCAGTGGCCGGGTCCAGAACTGTAGACGAACTTCTTACAAGACGACCTTTGGCTCCCTCATCACCGACAATAGACGACACACTCCTATCAATCGCACTTGCTAGGGCACCTATCCCCGGACCACTTGCGCTCTGCGGCGCACCTGTGCTTTGCAGCCCACTCGTGCTCTGCAGCCCACCTGCGCTCTGCGGCCCACTTGCGCTCTGTGGCCCACTTGCGCTCTGTGGCCCACTTGTGGTCTGCAGTCCACTCGTGCTTTGCGGGCGCCCGATCTGCTCACTCTGAACAGTCCGGTCCCTCTGGGCAGCATACCGTTCCAAACAGTGTGGAACCGCAGAGCCGACTCTATCGAAATTCTGAGAGACTGTTGACTCCATTTTGGGATACGTAGCTGTCACGTAACCGCTTGCGCCGTAACCGTTTGCGCCGTAGCCGTTTGCGCCGTAACCGTTTGCGCCGTAACCGTTTGCGCCGTAACCGTTTGCCGCGTAGCTACCTGTTGAGAAGCTGTTTGCTTGGTAGCCACCTGCTGCATAGCTGCCTGCTGCATAGCTGCCTGCTGCATAGCTGCCTGCTGTATAGGCACCTGCTGTCTGCATGTCCAGTTTGCTTGCGTCGGTGGCGAAGTGGCCGGAAGTTTTGCCAATTGCGGCCGAGTCCCCTCGTCGGGCCAAAGGCTGTCGCAAGTCACTGTACTGGCCGGAAGGCCTTTGGTTGGGAAGAGTGGCCACCGAGTAGCCTAGCCGGGTGTCCTTCATGGACAGGGATGAGTTTCGGCCGAGAGGAGTGCTGTTCCGGGTCCCGAGAGCGGTACCGCTTCCGATGCTGTTCCCGATGGCAGGACCGCTTCCGATAGCGACGGCCGCGCTACTCCCGGCGAAAGCGTTCTGTGGGGAGGTGCACAGTTCACGGCTCATCTCGTTTTTTCTGATGGAGAGTTGGCTGGTTGACGGGGGTTGAGCCTGCTGAAGTCTGGGGGTGGGGCTGAGTCTCGAAGGAGGCATGGAGGCTTTCAATGGAATCGACCCGGAAATAGTGATGTTGGGGGTAGTTGCCGTTGCCCACTGGTGAGACCTGTTTTCATGACGACAAGGGGACCACTCCGGATCACGCGACCAATTATTATGTCGAGGCCAATCATTAGACCGCGACCACTCCGGACTGTCTCCTGCTATTGTCGAAGGTGTGGCTGCCCAGGACGACGACTGCTTTATATTGAAGAACCTCTGTCTATCCTGATCAGAACCTGCTCGAAATCGCCTTAAGGGCTCCATCTCGGCCGCGGCACGCCAAACTTGCTGCTTAAATCCAGGTATCTGCTGCCTAAAACGCAACCGTAGCCGACGCAACGTATTTGATCTTACATCAATGTTTTTATGCCCCTGAAAATGCCGACCCATATCAACTTCCTTCTGCTAGTAGCGAGTTCAGCTGAGCCGGTTGACGTAACGTGTGAGAGACCGAACCACGACGGTCAGGTTCGCTTGCGTAGATGGTCCGCATCCCGAGCTGGTGGGTTTGGACACGCTGGGGGACTTGGCAAGTCCGTGTCGAGAACATAGGACGGCCAGGAGTTGCTCCGAAAGACCAGGACGGACTATGGAAGAGTGCATCACATCTGAATCACATCTGAATGAGACGTCGCACTGCGGGAAGTATCGGAGGGAAATAAAGGAGCGTTCATGCGCCCGAGGAGTGGGCACATCGCCGGGAGCTCTCGCCCATTTGTAATCCCAGAGAGAAAACAGGCGACTACCGGGTCGATAAACAGATATTTGATGACGCGTTACCTACCCCCCTCTCGGATAATCTCCAAAAGGCGTCCGGCCATTCCAGTTATCTGGGCTCTGGAACATTCCCGCCACTAAACCGTGTAAACAATTGTGGACCCCTTTTGGACTCTTTGAGTCTAACGTAAAATCGAAAAAGTACCAGACAGCCTCGGCAACCTGTTCGCAGAATTTAATGAGATCACGTTTACTCGGACACGGCACAGCCTGCGTCGAGTCGTACTTTCTTCCAGAATGCCGTTTGTCGAGCAGAGGCGTCCTTCGAGTCTTTCGCGATGAGGCAGTAAGGGACAGTAGCAAGGCGCAGGCAGGAGCTTCCGCCATCGGCTTCGAGCACAACGTAGGTTTGTGCGTAGCTGCCGATGTAGTAATCTTTCTTGGCACCGGGGTTGCATTCTTTCGCGTGGAAGATGAGCAGGTCAGCATCCGCCTCTAGCTTGTTGATGACCGCTGGCGAGAAACGGTAGGACTTCATTAGGTCGCCGAGGTTGGCGACGCGCCAGACTCTAAGGTAATCAAGCATGGTGGCATGAACGCCGTCCTTTGCCCTGTCACCTCTACACCCAATGTGTTCGCCGCGTGGCATAAACGTTCCCTCCCACGGGTACTCGTCGCTTTTCACCCTTTGCTTCTTGGCTTCAGTCGAGATGCGCCCCTTGGCGTGTTCGATCTCCGCAGGCCAGAGGAACCGCATATCACTCCCTGCCGGCCACTGTCCTTTTGGTGTGAATTCTCCGCCACGGACTGCCCACTCGTTCTGGGGAAGTCGAAGGTCCTCAGGCACCAGTTCACGCCAGAGTATACCACGCCAGGACCCGTGATCCGTTGCGGTTTTGATCACACTGTTCCACGCGGGCAGGCTCACGACCGGACCTGATTCGCACCGAGAACACACGCAACCTTTCGTATGCGCCACGGCCAGCTGGTTCTCGCTGTCCGTCCCAAGCATGGGCCGACAGATTCCCCTCCAGAAGATTGACTTGTAGTCGCCAGAGGGCTCAAGCGTTTTGTAGGACTCCAACAGAGCGTCGCGCAACTGGCACATGCTCCCCATCGACGTCTTCAACGGCGCGATTGACGGACCCCCCAGCTCACCATCCTCGGCCAACTTCAGCAAGGTACGCCTGGCACAACTAACTCGATACGGCTCGTCAGCAGTCTGCTCAAAACCCTTGTACTTGGCGGCGCCTTCAAAGTCCACACGCACGGTGGGATGAACGCCGTTACTCAACAACTGGATCTGCTCGGTGCTGAACAACGTATCTTGCTTCTCCATCAACTGGTCCACCGTCTGCAGGCCCACGGCCAGAAACAGGCGTGGCGTAATTCTGTCACTGTCGCCAAACCCAAATCTCACACACCCGGCCATAGGCGGAGGCACCCCTTCAACTTCATCAATCCGGCGATCCAACACCACCAACGATTCGCAATGCTCCTCACCTGGAGCAGTAGCGTCAAAAGTAACTCCAATGAGCACAGACAACAACGGCGAAATTACTTCCGACTCAGTAGCACATCAACCTCTCATCGATCAAATCTTTTTCAGATCTCCAAAAAATGGTCGTACACTGAGACACGACGGGACTGAGACACGATGAGTTGAATTTGTTGAGGGCTGAATAGGTTACAGTTCGTAAAAAGTCCCTCAGCCCGGGGGCTTACTTCCTTCACGTACCCAAAGCTCGCATGGCATCCCGCCAACGACTACGGCCCTGTCTCTTCCGCTTCTATGCCCAGTCATTACGACCCTTACAACCAGCTACCGACTTACTCTGTCATACCGTCTCTCGGCCAACTCTCTCCGTGGCTACCTCACCGGCAGACATTGCGGTCCGACAGCCTCGACAGCCACTCCCCGCGTACTCCGTCGTCGTCGTCAACTGCGCCTCCGAGAGTCTTGGGCACTCTCTTCGTCATCAGTGGGGCTCCCCCCTGGCATGCGGCCGGCTGCACAAGTCCACGCCGGATTCTCTGACACTCGCAACACTCTTGGGGCCGGTCAGTCCCTCAGGAACTCGCTACGCGGCAGCAAGCAGTAGACTT